TTGCAAGTATTACCAGGCACATAAACCCTATTGTAAAATTAGTTGTTTTAAAAGGCCCATTGATATTTTTCAAAATAAAATCCCAAAGACTTATATTAGATTGACTCTTTTGGAATTTAAGAACTAAACAAACAGACAATCCAGGAACAAAGGATATAATGAGATGTAAATTTAAGGACAAAAGGGGTTCTAATGGAATGCTGAAATTCTTGACAAAGAGCAGCATACCCTCACTGCTCATGATATGCCTTCTTGTTTCAAGAGAAGACTGCCACAGGTTCATTTCCAAAATATAAATCAAGGCTACGTGTAACAACTAACAAGCAATCTCATTTCATTTGAATAACAAAATTTTATAAAAAAGAAAAAGAAAGAAAGAAAGAAAGAAAGGGGATAAAAAATTAAAAAAAAAAAATGCTACTCTTAACTACTTACTGGGAAATGAAATCTTACCATGTTCAATTCATCAAATTGAGAGACGCGATGAAATGAATGAAGGGAATGGGGTAGTTCAAGAGGTGGAATGGGATCACAAGAACCTTCTTTGGGAACCTTCATACGCATTATCATATGCCAACTGAAATTTAATTAGATTAAAGGTTACATTAATAATATGAAGGAAAAAAATGGAAATGCACCAAACAAATGGTTATGGCAAGGCAAATTAGAATATTATGTAGATGAAGATACAGGCTGAGAAAAGTGAATAGAAGTTAGGCTGTGAGAGATGCCACCAAGAGAATTACAAGATGATCCTAGATGATTTGTTGGTAAAAATTGAGAGGTAATCTAGTGGTTTAACAAAACTCTTCCAAGACAAGTATAAAGCCCATAAAAAGTATCATAGTTTGCATGTAATCAATCTCCAGTGGCAAACTCCATCAAAATTTATTGCAACTAGGTGCTTACCCATGTCAACACCAATTTTAATCATCTTTGACACTAATTTGGGAAGGTTAAGGCAGCTTTCATATTTTACCAATGCTTAATCTTTTGAAATCAAGGAGTATCAGTTTGCCAAGCAATCAAGCAAAAGAATTTGTAGTAATTTATGCCTTCATTACGTTTATTGCAGTGTTTAAACTTCATGCATGGAGATGCATTAGTTTGATATAAACTGGAAATACAACAGGTGATAATTACCTGTCAACTTTCATTTCCTTAGCAGCCTTTACTTGCTCCAAGAATGACAACACAGATTGACGATCTGTGCCAGGATTTTTCTTTCCCTACAAATTAACCAAATGCAAGGCATGAGATTCTAAGTCTGAGTTAAACTGATTCTTCCAGTACCTACACTACATTAACTATGAAACGCCATTTCTAGATTGAGACAGCTGGAGGTGATCACTTGTCAAGCGGAGAAACTTCTAGACATTACCTGTACACTTGTGGGGCAAAAAGATTCATGGAAAGAATTGGCAGATCGGAAATACGGAAAATAATATTTAGGAATAAAAATTAGCAGCATAGGATTAAAAATGTCCCCACTCCATCAAGATCATCCTAATAGAATTACATTACTAACATTAATTGGGGATGATGGACAGATAATGAAAAATGACATTTTCCTTGAAATGCCATTGAAAGATTTTCCCTATGGGCAGTGGTAGTAGGTGAGATACAGGATTGATTACATCATGGCAGGAAAATAGACAAGGAAGGAAGAAATCAATCCACAAAATTAAAGACAAAACTGTTTGATAGGACTAATTAAATGAGTCAAGTAACTGGTAAGAATTATCCTACCCAGCCAAAAGAAAATGGGAGGTTGTTTCCAGTTCCCAAAGGTACGGTAGCAACGGGAGGTGGCGTAGGTAGTTTAAGATCAGAAATTACTCCAAGGAGCCAGCTTGCAGTGCCATCTCCTCCAGCAACCTAATAATTTACATAAAACATATATTAGAAGAAGATATCAAGTAAGTCGAAAGTAAATAGTCCCCAGAACCTACTTCTAGTACAGTAAACTAATACTTAACGCGAAAACTCACAATGATTCTCAATGTATTTTCAATTTCAGAGGCCAAAGAATCCCCATCAAATTTAAGCTTTTCCAAAGTAGAATAGATCTGGCTCAACAC